CTTATTGGAGGTGATAGTATATTTACAAACACTCTAATTTATTTAAACTTAGATTAATATTAATATGAATAATATTATTTTTTTAACTAAAAATAATCCTTGCCTATAAAACAAACATAAACTGAAAAAGTGGTCCAAGAATGGAAACTCATAACTGAGACTTGAAGTCGAAAGAAGCTTTGAGGAAATAGGTATTCTAACTTTTTGGAAGGATGTTGACTAGCAATCCATCTGCTTTTATAAAAAGTAAAACCTGGGTTAGGGATGGTAAATAAGCGCTTTGAGTTAAAGATACTTTAATTATGTTGGATCTGAGATTTTTTATTGAAGATATGTTTAACAGGGAGCATGTCTTCAAGAAAACTAGTCTTCGAACAACTGTGCTATGAATTCAAAGACGAAATCTGTTATTTTAGAACATTCTAATAGGGGAAAAAATTCAATAATTGATTTTAATTTATCAGAAACGCTAAAAAAGCAGTTTTTACAAGAGTATTATATAAATAATTATTTATTAATTTCTTAGAGAAATTAAAGTTAAATTTACATATAAAACATTCATCCAACTTAAATTTGAGATACCTTTTTTTATTCTTGGAGTATTTAAATACTTTAATTTAATTAATAGTTAATAGATGGTATTATTATAGAATTTGATGATTTTTAATGTCACAAATTTATGATATATTATAAAAATCGGACTTGGGTTATTTGACAAATTTAAATGAAAAAAAGAGTATATACTTAATTACTAAAAATTTAGCCTCAAATTTTTTCTCGTGAATTTGATATATATTTTGGATACAATCCTTCTCTTTCATTCTTTTCTTCTTTAATGAGTAAATTTAATAAAACTTTTCAATGAAAAAACTATTTAAAATGGTATAAAAGAATGTATATTTTTCTTTTATTTCAAATCATATTGAAATAAGGAAGATAAAATAGATAATGATCATTATTTTATCATCTACACTCATATTTTAAATTTTAGATTGTCAAATGAATTGTGCAAAAGTAGTTAATGATAAAATTATTTCAACAATTTAAAAAGCCCTTGTTAGGGATTTTATGTCCAAAAAATAAAAATATAGATTAACATAAAAATGTATTTTTAATATCCAAGATTAAATAAACCATCAAATATTGAATTGATTATGTAATCAAATATCATAAGTTATTTAAAATAAATTATGCTTTTGATTAATATAAACACAATCTAGAGCTCTCTTTCATTGGGACCCAGCAACAAAATTGTGATAATTTATACTCTATATTATATTAGATGAATGGCCAGATGTTCAGGTAAATCTGGGGCTACTTCAGGATATTCATATAGGACTTGCTCTATTGATCTAGAAAAAAATACAGTCAATGATTAATTTGATTTATTTCAAATTGTTTCATTTAAGAAGTTGGAAGATGCAGGATTAATGCTAATTGTGACAAATTAATTTTGAGGTAATTTGCAAGACAGATATATCTTGAAGAATTTGATTCTGGAATTATTTTGAGCGTTGGGCTAAGATTTACACAAATTTAGCAGCGGTTTCAAAATCTATTGAAATTAGAAACAATTGGCCTTATCACTTAAGGGTTAAACTAATTATACATAATAAGAGATTATTCATCAATCTGCCTTTAAAAAAAATTAAATATCATCATATATGGACTCTATTACTTAATCAGAAGGTTGTTAAATTAAATAAAGAGGGGTAAAGTGTGGATTGGTTTAAACATATTGGGTTGATTATTTTATCTCATCTACTAATCATACTATAAATATTAGCAATAATAGTTATAAGTCAGTCAGTGTTCTTTATAATCATCGATCTGGTTGAATCGATTAACCTATGACTCATTCAGAAAAAATTTAGAAAGCCATTGAAATTAAATGATATTTTGTAATTTTATTTTTAAATATGTTATTTATACTTAGAACTATTCCAAACTATTTGTAGATGATGAGTTGTTGATACTTAATAAAGAATTTTTATTGAGAAATTAAATTCAGAGATTTTGTAAAGACTAAATTTTGTCAATTTCTGGTAACATTAATTATTGTTATTAATTTCTATTTGGTTGAGTTTTCAAGACTACTTATTTTTTTAGATTTTATCACAAATTATGATCCCTAAAGATATTATTAGAAGATTAATAAGCATTTTTTTAATAAACAGAATGGTTTCAATGTATATATTAAAAAAAAAATTTAAACTTAATTCATTTATATAATTTCTATGATTAGAAGCCACTCTATGAACAAGAACAAAAAATGAATTGCTACGAGTCTTCTCTAAAATGTTGTAGTTTAGCCTAAACGTAATCCTAATATTATATCCAATATTTTAGCAAATGTGATTTTAATTAAACATTATTTATAATTAGGCTATATATCAAAGATATATAATTCTAATTTTACCTCAAAATGATTAATAATTAATCCAAATTTTGATATATCTTGCTTCTTTTCTTCATTCTTATACTTAAATATGAAGTTTACATGTTTCTTAATTTATGATTGTTTAATCATAATCGATGGTTTTAAAGATTTAGTTATCTATCTAACCTTTACTAGATTTTATTCATTTTCAAATAATCTTTAAATTTATCAATATTTCAACCAACTAAGAATATTCAGAAGGAAAAATAATTAAATAAAATTCTAATTTGATAATAAATCTTTCATCTCAAATAATTTAATGTATAATTT